TCAAACTCAAATTCTGTTAAACAATTTTGTCTTTTTCAAAAATCTTATTATGATTTGTATATGTTTGCTCCATAAATTCCTTTGTAACATGTCTATTATGTCAAACCTTTCCTTGATGTTTCTGAATTGTCTTATAAATTGTCTGTCTTGTTTGTACTTCTGAAATTCTTTTATAACATGTTCAATGGTTTCATTTTGTCCACAATAATCACATTTCCCTGTTTTTGCATTGCAAAACGTATATAATTAAGTCCTGTTTGTCCAAATCTTAACCTTGTTATCACTCTTTCCTCCTTTCTATTTCTTCTTCCATTTCTTCTTTCTCCTACATTCTTCTGAATTTTATAAAACCATTCCCAGAATGCATCGATGGAGGAGAAAACTTTAGAAACCTTAATGTAGGCTATCTATACTCATCATCACACATTTTAGATTCACAAATTTGGGTTATATTAACAAGATAGTAAGACCTAATTATTTTTGCATTAGTTAAACCGTCATTATGAAAGCTGTAGCATATGAAATCCATTATTAAATGAACAGCATCAGTATTTTGTCATGGTCAATAAATAAATAAATAAATAAATAAATAAATAAATAAATAAATAAATAAATCCTTATTTAAGTAAAGTATTGACTCATGACATATACCATTTACACACCAATGAAGTCATAAGTGAGTTTTGCTATTTATCTACATTGTTTGTCTACAAAAGATTACAGTACATGCACTTTTGCACAAATTGTAAATGCATAAATATTCAAATGTGATTTTTAACTACTCAGCTCTTCTTGTATACAGTAATAGATATAAATTAAATATAACAGTGCCCATGTGATCAATAGCCATCTGTAGTGTCATTTTTTATTGTTATGTTTTAGGTTTAAATAGGGTTAGTAAAATAAACAGGTTTTAAACATATGGCTATATAAATGTTAAAAAGTTATACAAAAAATCTACAAAATAAACAAAAATGATTTCTGTACTTTCATCGGAGCAGAACAAAGAATCTTGATGACTCGTGTTTTTTTTTTGTGCCTATGTGAAGTATCATGTGGTTCTGCAGCAAATGTGCTGCAACTGTTGCAAAAATGCCACTTTTTTTTTGTCTTCATAGGTGCAATGTTAACTTTTCACGTTTCCTAGGCAAGGTAAGCAATAAAAAGGGACCCATTTTGTTGTCCTTATAATGGTATTCTGTTGTGTTGTTACAAGGTAAACTATTAAGTCCATCCTACTCTGCATGTCTGACTTTCATTTTAAAAGATCCTTATGCTTTGTGCGTATCCAGTAAACCCAATGAAGGCAGTAAGTACCTACTATCCAATCAGTAGGACAGAAGAGAGGATCACTATGGCACATCTTCTAAATATGTTGCACAATATTAAATTCAAAAGTAAATCTGGCCCAATGATGTCTGAAAAATATCTCTCTGCACTCTCCTGTTTGGGGATCACCATCCATCCATCCATCCATCCATCCATCATCCATCCATCCATCCATCCATCCA